ACGAATTGATTGAATTAAGATTTTACTTATTTAAAGATTTTAAAGTATTTGGATCATCCAGAGTAACTGAATCTGGAAAAACATGTTGTAACTTCACTTCATCGAACAAAACACAAACTGGATGAATATTTCTGTTTCCTGTTTGTGTTTGAAAAGTTCACATTCTTGTTCTGCAGCTCAGATGTGAAGGGAAACGAGGTCGGGTGGGGGGATAAGAAACTGCTGACAATTACCAGAAGGGGGCGATAGAGTGACAATACAAACTCACTTTATTCCTGCAGGGGGCGATGTTTACTGGGCTACGAACTGCATGCAACTTAAACTACAGGGTCTCTCCTCTCAGACTAAAAGCTGTCTGCAGGGGGCGACACACACAAACAGAAAGAACTACACATGTTTAGGTGAAGGACCAATTAGTGACAAACACCTACTGATTGACTTACATTGATTGATCCATCGACCAGCCCCCATTTCTACCATGACAGAGCAGAGTGATACATGAGATGAAGAGTCTCAGGCTATAAACACACGCACCTGTTGGAGAGTCACATATTAAATGTTCCTCTGAGTGTGAGGGAGGAAATTCAAACCTCTCACCTGTCCGGCCATGTCACAGAGCTGCAGCCTCACTGGTCTCCCGTCAACCTCCACCATCACTGAGGAAAACACAGTTCACTGAGCGCGTTGGAGCTTTTCCTTCTACAATAACATGAGCTTCATCCGTTTATCAGTGAGATGAAACAGAGACACGCGCACAACCAAAGCAAAACACTGCATGTGGTCGATATACACAGAGGATTCACGGTGTTTCAGGATGAATTCGTGCGTAAAACCTGTGCGTAAAGCTCAAACTCAGCCACAGAGGTGTGAAATACTACCTGTGAAGTTGTCGAACGCGGTGGGAACATAGTCTGTCGGGTATCCGTTGGTGGTGTAGCTCACGATGAGGCTGGTCTTGCCCACCGCTCCGTCTCCGACCAGGACGCAGTTCACCTTGCGCTCAGGTGCGGAACCGGAGCGCCGGCGCAGCGCGCTCAGCGGGAAGTCGCGGTTCTTGAAGCGCCGAGGCGGGATCGGAGGACCGTCTCCCCCGTACACTGGGTCGGACACGCGGCGCGGCTTCTGCAGCCTCCCAACATCCTGCGGGAGCATGGTTCACTCTCCCTTCGCTCCGTGGAAGGATTTATTTCAAGTCGCCTGACGCCTCAGAGCCGCCGGAGACTCCCTGCGCGCTCCATCCTCCACCGATCACGTGTTTCTGCTGCACCTTCACGTTGTTTACCGCGAAATAAAAACGAACTCAAGCGCCACAAACAACATTTGGTTCACGCGACGCGTGGTGGCGCAGAATTGAGGCGCACACTGGCGCAGCCGCCGGGTTTGTGAGCTCAGCAGGAGCCGCTGATTGGCATTCTCCCTGCATCTGCTGTGGACGTGATTCCTAAGAGGCTTAGCGAGCACTGCGCCATATGAAGCTCCAGAGCTTTCCCACTGAAATCAACTGAGACTTTATCCCACAGGCCACATACAGCAGGTCTGTGAGGCCAATTACAACCCGGAGGTAAAACATTCACCCTCAAGAGTTTTGAGTCTCTCTCTTCTTTTCTTCTTTTCTAATAGAAGTGAGAGCAGCTGCCTCCAACTGTCCTGTCAATCATATTTAATCATACATCTGCTGAATGAGCCAGTTTCTAAGATCAGTCAATCAAACAACACTTCACACTTCCACTGTGTTTGTTCTCATTCTACTTCTGTCCTGTAACATCCAATCCCCCCCCCCACACACACACACACTCTCAACAGCACCTGGTGGTGATGTGGTGAAGTGACGCCCCCTAGTGGTGGAAGCCAGTCAGGGCTTGGATTGGAT